GAGAGAGAGAGAGAGGGGGAGAGAGAGAGAGAGAGAGAGAGAGAGAGAGAGCCAAGGAGAAAAGATGCAAATAGTGAATGACAGAAAATGGCGATGCTAGGCCTATCGTAGTGGTTATATTATTAATGACGATGAAAAAAAAGAAATTTATTAGTAAAATAAACTATCGGTTCTTTTCATAGATAGTCTGTAGCGAGTGCAAGGCTAGCTTATTTATGAATCGAGCGTTGTTACGGGATGGAGCAATATTATTATTAAATGAAATACAATACAATTACCATTATTGTATTCGAGGCGAGCCTTTAAGGCGCGTTCTCAATTAAAATACCGGGACGCCAGTCTATTTGCTATTACGAACAGTGACACAAAACATAAGGCATGCCACAGTAAAGTATGAGTGAACGAATTTGTATATTCGACAGAAATTAAGCAATGGGAACACGCGTACACTTATGCATATACATACGCGCAAACAACAGTACATATACACACGCATATATATATATATATAAGTGAAATAAAATTATATATATATATACATACACATAAATTAATTAATTAATATAAAGTACGTTACAGTAGCCTGATAGTAGTGTATCTTAGGTGCCCCTCGGCAACGGTGATCGAGTACCTTCGTAAGGAATGTATCGCGCAAGATGATGGTCTTTTTTTGAGGCCAATTGAGTAAAAAAGAAAGAAAAGAAAGACGGAGAATATATGAAGTCGATACAAATTGTTCATAGGTAGTTGACATAATAGTGCGGAATTAATCTCAATTCGCTGGCTTGAATATGCGATTTTCGTGGCTCTTAGGCCCATTCGCGCAAGCTTTTATTATTATTATTATTATTATTATTATTATTACTACTACCATTATCGTAATTCTCGAGAAAGAGGAAAATGAAAGGATAGTAAAAAGAAAGGAAGCAATTATTGGGGTCCTCGCTCGAACGTTTCTCACAATTTTTAATAATGGGTTTCGAGCGCCAACTCCGCCATTATTAAACCATTTCCGGTTTCCTCGTTCTTCTTTATCCTTGTCCTGTATCCTTGATCGATCCTTGTCCATGTTTCTTTGTTCGTGAGAGCACTTCCGTTTCTTTACTCTCGTTCGCATACGTCATTCCTTTTTTGATCCTCCGTAATGACGCGGACGTCGAATCCCCGGGTGCTGCGTATTCTCGTTCACTCATCGTAAAAAGAAGGGAGACGCGAATACATTGAATATGGCGTCTGCAATCCGCATGATTTTTCTATACGGTTTAATCGATTTTAATAGGTGGTATCAGAAAGACATAAGTGGCACGACGAAGTCCAGGGCGTATTAGTAATCAGTCATTATTATTTTGTATATAAAATTGTACATACAGAAAAGGCGCGCGAGACAAATTCGTTGTCCAGTGAAGTAAAGGAAGTGAAAAAAAAGTGGTGCATTGTTATCATCATTCTCGTGTATTTATCTTGCATTGCCTTGTTATTTTCTAGATTCATTAAAATTTCCTTATATTATTAAGAGATGACGACAATCTCGTATTACATTCAATGTGACTTCCGTTTTCCGTATGAACATACGTCATCCAAGTAGCTTCACGAATATTTTCGCGCGAGGTACGAGTCGCCATGTTTCTTTTTTTTTCGGTAACAAGGGAGACTTCGTCCATGGGAACATTGAGTGGGTGGTCGAATGAAATGCAGCACATAAGTAATATATATTTAGTGTATGGATGGAATAAAAAAGAAAGACGAAAACATTGTGATACGGTGTAGAAGCGAGAGGACCGAGTCGGGGATCGGAGTTTCATGGTTGGAGGTTAAGTGTCATTGTTCTTGCAGAGTCAAGAGAGAGTAATTCGCGAAGATTGTTGGATATATTAATGATACTTAGGAGGAAATTGAGGAGGCACGTTATTTAAATATTATAATATTCCAGCAGTTATTTGTGAGAGAACATTTACGAAAAAAGAAAATTTAAGTATGAACTGGTAGAAAGACTGTGGTAGCTGGTTCGAATAAAAGTGGCGCCAGTTTCAAAAAGAGTTGTCGTTATCGCTCGATGACTATTTCTATCGAGGTAGGAGAGACGTTTTATAATTACTAGATAGACATATTGTTGAAGGTGTCGGCGGGCAAACAGCTGTGATGTACGTATGATATCAGCGCCGCACTTAGCGGCGGTCGTTTAAACGAAGTTAAAAAAAATAGCTAGCACTTTTAAGGAAAGAGTTTAAATAATAATAATGGTAATTCACATTCCTCACAACCTCTGACCTATTTTCTATTTTTCGTTTCCTACCTGACTCACACTCTAACCTCACTTCCTCTCCTCCACTCATTCTCTAATCCCTTATACATTTGGATTTTCCATTTTACGAATGCACTCCGCCCTCCCCTCCGACCTATAGGATTCACCTACTTTTATTTAATCTTATTAATTCCAGCCGCAACTCAGGGCTTACATCAAACCCTTTTTCCATTTATGGTTTTCTCTATGGCCAATGTGCCTGTACCTACCTCATAACTTTTTCCTCTTCGCATGCTTCGAACTAATACGTTAAATTCTGGACATCGGCGTGGATGCGAAAGCTTATTCGGCTTTACACACAATCTACACATAACACTATATTAACACTATGTTACTAACACGTGACACATATTGAACAGAATTTCTAAATCTCTTTGTCTATTATGTATCCCGTGAGTCTTTGTATTATCGCTCCCAGAGATTATTGGCTCGCGCGTTTTTTCGGCGTTCTTACATTTTACGACGTATGCAATGGCGTGTGTCATGGGACATTTATAAGCCAACAGTGAGATAAGTCATGTTAAGAGCGACACGTGATTACGTGATCACGCGAAGTCAGCTTTCTTAGTTTTAACATGTTATTCTACATATTATAATACGATCTTACAAATTCCATTATAAACGCCTATGTATTTACTTCTTGGTAATAAATTATTAAGATTGTACATTAAATGTTATTGAGACCTTTATTACAAATTGCTTTGTATATGAGGTTCCCGAGAGCTGGGCCATTATGTATACTCATGCATTGTATTATTGTGTCACCAGGTATATAAGGTTCATGGAGGTTGAGGAAATGCAGGTCGCGAAAATGAAGTATGACGAACGGAATTCATTGTCATCCAATGTGATGGACTTCCTGAGGACTCCCGGTACGTCGACGCCCATGGGATTCTCTTTACTGTTGGAATCGATGTTCTCAAATGTGGAGTTGGTAGTGGTGGTAGTGGTGGTGGTGGTGGAGGTGGTGGAGAAGGAAAATATATCTGCGAAGTTTTCATCGAGGAATGCTGTACCTGTGATACCGGATGATGAATCATCAATCCTAGTTTTGACATATGTTGACAATTATTAACCATACAGTTCCGTCTACTCTGTCGATTTGAACGATTTAGGTCAGATATCAGATTAATACGTCTTGCTTGCATCTGATTCTCCCGTCTTCTTATGGTGTCTTGAATGGATCCACGAAATCTGTTGTAAGCGTCACTGGGATTAAATTTGGGAGATACTCGACACCCTGGATTATTTATTTTAGCCCTCAGGATACTTTGACGTTCACCCCAGGAGTCTTGGCGAGGTTGCTGACATTCGTTCTCCTTTTTATTGAAGGCACCGCGACGTTTTATGAAAATACTCCTATTGTAGTCCGTATCCAATTTCCTGTGGTATTTGCTCAGTTGAGATTCGTGTTCGCTATCTGAGTTTATCTGACTACCCGGTGATCTGAGCCAGGACCTTCCTGCACTCGAGAACTTGCCAGGATAATACAGTACATTGGTTTCATGTTCAGTTTCTTGGGTATTGAGTAACTGAACCTTACAAGGTACAAATCTTGATAGCGTGCTTATCTTACTCCCGGATTGTGAATGTCTGCCTTCGTCTGACTCTCTGAGCCTGGTTCTGCTGGATTCACTAGCGTCTGACCTGTTGCTCCGATTCGTAGGCTGGGAGGGTCCTCCTCCTTTTAGCCTGTTTATTGACACTCTGTCTGAATATTCAGATGTGCAGCACGTTTCTAGAATTTTCCCTGTTGATGTTATTTCTGGAGAAAAGTCTAGCGACGGCAGCGGTGGCGCTGCCGTAGTTATTTTCTTCAAGGGAGACATCCACTCATCTTCTTCTGACGTCATTCCTTCCGCTTCCTCAACTTTCTCTTGAATCTTCTTCTGTTTCTCTCCTGCTATTCCCAACGAGGATAACAACCTATGTCCATCCCTGTTAGCAGCTGCTAATTTCAATGAAAGTTTTGAGCATATTCTACGTAGTAGCTGGGCCCTGGTATTTTTGTGTCCGTTTAAGGTTATGGACGAAAGCATCTCCTGGGGGAACGAGGATGGCTGTGGAAACGGTGCACAGTCCTTGGAAGGTTCATCGACGTCTTCCTCAAGGAAGGCTTCCTCTTCGTCTGTTAATTTATCAGAGTTCTCCTGCAACGGCATACTACCAAATATCCAGGCAACATAGTGCGACTTCCTAGGCCCGATGTAGAACGTGTTACTATGAGCTGTCTGCAGTAGTCGCAATAGTAATGACAGGACTAGCTAAAACAATAATTGAATTCTTAATAGACAATTAGTACTATATGAAAAGTTTGATCTTCCAGTACCTGATATACCGACAGAAAAAACAGTACCAAGACGATGAGGTTCCCTACGAGGGTAGCCGTACTGAGCATCTTTGAATGACAGCCAGCTGTAGCTATGCTAACCTTATCATTAGAGTCATAAAGGTAAGCGTCACTTCCTGCCATAATGTTATGATGAACACAAGGTCCAAGGATATCCTTCAAACAGCAAGAGAAGGGTACATCGTCAGCCAAAAATTCATTCTCGTCACCCTTCTCGTCGGCGTCCTCAATTCTCTCAATCTTCTCCGTACTCTGGGCACCAAGTTTCTTCCACGGTATGAAAAACCAATCCTTGTACGAGTTACTACCGCAACAGTGAAATTCAATCTGAACAGAGTCAATGCGAACCTTGGCGACGACATCGCTGACATAATTTTCCATAGCCTCCAGGAGGCCGTTCTGTATTCTGCTGTAGAACGTACTCGAATGAACAATACTGGCTGCATTTATGAAGGTGGTCAGGAAGATAGAAGCCACGCAGAAGATGATGTGAGCGAACAGATCCTTGTTCAGACGTAACGATTCTTCCGCGGAGAAATTACGTTTCAATCTTAAACGGATGCAGAATCTTAGTCCCAGGACGTAGAGCGGCGCACAGAGAATAGCTGCGACGATTATCAATGCTGGCCATAGGTAACCGTCACCTGGTGTTACCAAATTGAGGTAATTCCCAAATCCAGTCATTAGCTTGATGGCTGATACTATCATTATTATCACTGTTATTATTCCGGTAATGTTCATTGTAATTATACTTATGTATAAAAGCTTTAGCGTTGACCATCTATATGTAACATTCGGTATGCCCATGTAAATTTACAAGCTAACTGGAATGGAAACATGACATTGACAGTTGTCAGTGAGAGCTTAGTTGTCAGTTGTTTTCAGACAGAATAACCTTAATTTATTAAAGTTATAAGCATGTTAAAGTGAGTTTCTAGGATGAACGATAAATCATTATCCAATAATGTCGTGTTTTTGCTCTTTATTTTAGTATAAGGATTCACGTTATTACTCACATTTTACATTTAGAAAACAGAGATGAGTAGGATGATGTAAAAAGGTACGGTTTTAGGCAATTTCAAAAGCATAACGCTTAATACTAGCGGCGAGTCGGGAAGTAGGATTTTGTGATCATCGTCTCCGTTGATAATGCGTATCCTTTTGTAGCCGAGCTGAAACCTGATCACGAACGTGTAGCTTGGTGAGGTTCTCCGCTACTTACCGCTGGTTCCCAAAGCAACCCTTAGAAAGAGGCCGCTCATCAGATATTGCCTAAATATTTTTTTAGCTTTAATTAATTATTAATAATTATTTTAATTAAGCTCGATAAGATTTACTATGAGAATAGCCAGCACCTCATGCCTGCCTGCACTGAAACGTGTGATGTCACCAGTATCTTTAATAAATATTTTACCGATGTTACGTAGCACAACTATTGTTAAAACCTATCAGGAACTACAGAACTCCTCGAGAACTATTGAAAAAGCCTATTAAATGCTCGAGGAGCTCTATAGTTCCTGATAGGTTTTAACATAAATTGTGCTATGTAATATCGGTAAAATACCTATTCAAGATACTGGTGGCAGTATACGCTTCAGTGCAAGCAGGCATGAGGTGCTGGTTTCCAAGATTGTTTAAACAATAGTTCCGGACAGTTCCGGGATGATTCTCACTAATGCTCATTGTTGAGATGGTATTACAAATACATACATTTTTATCCTTTGACGCTAACTTCCTGACGGTAGCTACAGACAGTAGTCAGATAGTACTTACTAAGCTTTTTGTCGATTTCATCAATGTCCATGGTACCGACAATTCCTTGCCGGAAAATATAACCTTACCAGAGAATATTGTGCGCGTGCTCACAGTGCGTGAACGTGCACACTGTTTGTTACATGTTTCTTCTTACACTGTGCTTTGATTAGGAAAGATTTTTAGTGAAAATGTCGAAGGCAGCGAGTAGAATGAAACATATGAAAAAGTTGTCGGATAAAAAAGTGATCCATACATCAAAAATGAGAACAAATATACCTGCCGGACTTGCCGTTGCTAGTCCTCCACTTGGACCCAGTCTTGGACAGGTTAGGATTTTGTTTTCTCATAAGATTTTTGGATAATGATATTTATAAATAATATTAAGATCTTTTTGTTATGTTTATTATTTATCTATAACTGATATGATAATTAATAACAATGAATATATTCTGTCATACTTGCAGAGAAATATCAACATCCCGACTTTTATAAAAGATTTTAATGAGAGAACGAAAGATTACAAAGAAGGTATTCCATTGCCATGTCGAATTAAGGTAAATCCTGATCGTACCTACAATCTGGTTATACATCATCCACCAGCAACGTACTATTTAAAGCAAGCGGCTGGTATCCAAAGAGGTACGATGCATGGTGAGTAGTCAATGTATATTCTTCTATTATTCTTCTTCTTGGAGCTTTATTATATTGTACTTATTTTTATTGTGTTTATTAGGAAAAGAAGTAGCTGGTAAAATTACATTGAAACATTTATACGAAATAGCAAAAATAAAATCTGAAGATCCACCACTAGCATTAATGAGTTTACAACAGGTTTGTCTGATGATGGTTGGTATAGCTCGCAGTGTTGGTATAGAAATTGTACGCGATTTGGATCCGGATGAGTATGCTGAGTTTTTAAAGGAGAGAGAAGTGATAGTAGCTGAACAAAAGAGACAACTCCAAGAGTTAAGAGAAGCCAAAATGCTTAGAACAGTATAGAATTAAATTGTTAATTAGAATCTTTAGTGTATAATATATTGTAAATGACTATTAACGTAATAAATATCTATCATTATACAAATATACATAATATTCCTTCATTTCATCTATACCAAATCCTATTACTCATTCCTATAGTAGGATAATGTATGAAGAACTACACCAGTCAGGAAGTAAATAAAGAGAACAGTAATATGTAACATTTATTTTTATTAAATTTTTTCCGTAAACATTCTCATATAAAGTGTATATTAATGTTTTTATTTCAATGTCATCATCTCCTACAATGAGTGACTTCATTCTTAATTAAAACTCCTCATTGTTCTTTAATTGTAACATAGTATCCATTGACAGTGATTGGTAGACCCCCATAGTAGCCAGAGGTTGTACCTGGAACAGTCACAATCTGCAACAAAGAGTTATATAAGTTATTAGTTTTCATATAAACAATTTAAGTATCAGTATTATTGAATTGCTATAAAATTAGAGTTGTAAATACGTAATATTCATGCTAACCTTGTTGTTTTAGAAGGATATGCTATTTGCTGGAACTCTGCAAAGATGTGTGATTCTGGTCTCAGTGGTACTAAAATTTTGTAATTTTTTTAATCAAAGCTAGCAACATCTTGAGATCCATCATCCATTATGGTCCCTAATAGTACTACTAGCCAAAGTCGCTGATTGCCAAATTTCTAAGGACAAGAAAAATGCACATCTTCTCCAAATATAAAAACTATCAAATCTTCCATTTTTTGCTTGTGTTTGTCACTTCAAAACATCTTGTATATTTCATTTTTTCTTTTATCATGTACTTTTACTTTTTTTGTACTTTTTTAAAAATAAGTTTTGTTCTTTTCTTTTGATCCTTACTTTTTTTCATACAATAGTTACACATTGCACAATTTTTAGATAAATCAATACAGCAGAAACAGTCAAGCATTATAAAGATCATTAAAAGAACAGATGTGTTACAATATTAAACAATAGCATCATATCGATGTAATATAGAGCAGTGGCTCTTTGAAAATATTTAAATCTGTAACGAAAAGCATTAAAACATTATGGTTGAAATTGCAATCGATTACGACGATGATTACGAAAGCATGAAAATTGCGTTGTGAAAAAAAAAAAGAAAATAACGTTGCACAGGCGAAGTGAGCTTTTCTTTTCAGAAGCCAGCGTCTGATCGTTCAGGAGGACGTTAAACTCCGTAGTCATCATTGATGGTTTTTAAAATTCAATAATCATTTCTGATATCTATATAGTAATTGAAATCATCCGTATTGGTTGGAGGGTGTTAAGTTTCTTTGATGATATATTGCTGTTGGTATATTTGTATGTTCTCACGTCTAAATTCATGTAGCAGACTCTAAACGAAGTCCCACGCCGCAGTCTAAAAGTCCTAAGTTGCAATTCAGAAAAAGTTCCGGATACAGTCCACAGGTCCCTCGAAGTCCCACGCCGCAGAATCCAGTAGAGGTCCCTCGAAGTCCCACGTTGCAGAGTCCAGTAGAGGTCCCTCGAAGTCCCACGCTGTAGAGTCCAATAGAAGTCCCTCGAAGTCCCACGTTGCAGAGTCCAGTAGAGGTCCCTCGAAGTCCCACGCTGTAGAGTCCAATAGAAGTCCCTCGAAGTCCCACGTTGCAGAGTCCAGTAGAGGTCCCTCGAAGTCCCACGCTGTAGAGTCCAATAGAAGTCCCTCGAAGTCCCACGTTGCAGAGTCCAGTAGAGGTCCCTCGAAGTCCCACGCTGCAGTCCAGTAAAGATCCCTCTCGACGTTCCACGACGCAGTCCACATGAAATCTCAGAAATATTGCGATGCCGCCCGCACGATGACCCCACGTGTCATCATTACGATATTCCCAGGAGATAGCAGGATACATGTTGGAAAGTATACGATCTCGTTCGTAAGGATGGATGTTCGGGAATAATGTTGACAGGGATCGAAACGACGTCAATTGAGGCAGAAAGAAATATTGAAGTGTAGTCAAAGAGAATGCAGTAACGATAATCAGGAGATTCCAGAAGTGTAAAAGGATGTAGTAGACGTATGGCGATGAAGTCCATCAGATGTCATCTGATGTCCAGGAATGAAGAACGGAAGAATTATTAGCAGGTATTGTCACGAGTTAATTAGAAAAGTTTATCGTCCAGTAGAGTTCATTTTGAAGTCCTAGAGTGTCCAACAATATTCCAGCATGTATATTTTCGTTCGGAAAGGTCTATGGTTCAGATGAATTCAGAGTTTAGTGGTGTTCAGGAACGTTTACAGTAATGTCGAACAAAGTACCAGGTAATCCGTCTAGGAGTGTCATCTGAGGAAGTTAAATAAGGAATTGCTGTGCGGATAATCTGAAATGCAGAGGAATCCAAGAGGGATGATTGCCTGAGTCCAGAGCGTGCGGGCGGTGAAAATCCAAGGAGTAATTGTATTGCAAGATGTCCCTCGATGCCGTCACGGGAAGTCCCACGCTGGCATCCCGGGAAATCTCACGCCGCCGTCACAGAAGTCCCACGCTGCCGTCACGGGAAGTCCCACGCTGCCGTCACGGGAAGTCCCACGCTGCCGTCACGAGAAGTCTCACGCTGCCGTCACAGAAGTCCCACGCTGCCGTCACAGAAGTCCCCCGCCGCCGTCAACATGGGAAGATCCTTATTGAAAGATGATTGCTGCAGGCGAAGAATGTCACATAATGGTCCAAGATTGAGTGAAGCTTCATGAAGAAGTCTCATACGCCGCCGTCATTGGATGTTCAATTTATGAACGAGCTTAGTGAATAAACCAATTCTCAGGAACGTTCAAAGTCCAGTCTATGAATGGAATTTCGTGAATGAGGAAAAATGTTTTCACTTTCTTCGGGTCCATACATTAGCATCGCTGATGATCCAAATCCTCCAGAAGAGACCAATCAAGGTTTTTTTTTTAGCTAACCATCTTTCATATCTTATTAGTAGACTGGATTTTTTAATGATGCTCACCAGATCAGTAACCATTCCATTTTCAAACTTCGCGCTCATAAGTTAGGTCCTCGTTAATAACTCTCCTCCTAATGTCCTCCAAGTTGTCTAATCTTCAAATGGTGCAGTGATATCCCACGACGTCTTCGGTCTTCCCTCTTCTTTAGTCTTCGGTCTTCATTCATCCCACGAAGTCCACCAGGAAATCCCACGCCGACGCGTTCCATCTTCTATCTTCTTCGGCCTAGGTCCCTCCTCTTCTGCGATGTCTTCTTTCTTCTGCGTCGCAGTCACCTGAAAACCCACCCCGAAAATACCCGAATTCTTTTCATTTTTTTCTCTCTTTTTTCCCTTATCTTTTTTTTTATTTAAATATTTATCATTTTTTTATTTTCCATTCTTGCCTACTTTTTTCGTATTTTATTTTTTAATTATCTTATTGTATTTTCATTTTTTTTTCAATCTTTTTTTCACTTTCTTTTTCTTTTTTTTTCTTTTCCGTTACTTTTAGATATCTGGAAATAATGCGATCAGTTAGCCAAAGGATGTGAGTATTTCATTTTCGAAGGATCCAAGGTTGGTGAAAATTCCAGAGAATATAAATATCGGCAATAACGTCGAGGATAGACTTGGCTGTTCTGAATCTACGTAGGTAAAATAAATCTGCAAAGAGAAATAAAAACCAATGGTAAATACCATCAGAATTGCAATTTTGCTACTTAATACATACTTATAATGCAAATTAAGATCGAACCTTTTTATATATGAAAAGGAAGGCGTTTTTGCTGGAACTCTGCAACGCCATCCGCGATCACAGGAAACGAAGCTGACATGAGTCGACATCAACATCACAGAAGAAACCAAGTAGATATAAGATCCTGCCGGAAAAAGCCGAAAACCACCCTCGCCCCGTTATCCCCTGAGGGCCATTCGCGCAGTGAAGAAGACGAAGTTCCTTGCAAGGTTGGGAGAATTTGAAAGTGCCCGCACAAGTTCTTAGACGCAGGATAGTGAAACAGATGATCGCCAGTGAAACAGCAGATAGAGGATGTCCAAGATATGTCAGACGATCCTTATCTCCAGATTCTTTCCTTTCCTCTCCTCCTCCATCCAATTCCATAAGGAACTCCTCCGAAGCCATCATGCCCATTTGCCGCACTCCGCAGGATCCTGAAGATCAGCTGCTAGAAGTTGGACTATGGTAGCAGGGCCCGGTTCAGGAGTGGATGCCCACGATGATGCCATTTGAAGTCCGTCTAGTAGACGTCCTCCTCTTAGACTTCAGTCCAGTTGGTCGATCAATCAGCCCATCAACCAAAAGCGGCAGAGGACCGTACGCAGCATCCAGGAGGTTTGTCAAACATAAGGATGCCTTCACAAGGCTATGAGAGGACTTATCCGAGGATGATGATCTCGGTTAAGATTCTTTGAGAAATGTACAAATCTTTCCCTGCGTGTGTATAAGACCAAGGCCGCAAATGCACGCACAGACTCTAGAACACTCAGTTAGCTGGGACGAGGTTGGGGGGGGGGG